TAGTAAGGATCTGGCATTTAGAATAAAAATTCTGGGGGAAAGACTGTTTGTTTCTGTGGGAGATGGGCTACGTCTTCCAGTGCTTGGCTGCCCACAGAAACTACGGTCCCAATGCGCCTATCCGGTTCTGCAAAAGATTTCGTGACATCAAAAGACCGTGACTTGAATAAAAAGTAGTAGGACTTGGGGGATAAAATGACGGGCAGGGAAACTGATTACTATCGTTAGCTGACTGATTTTCTTCTGAAAATCAACAGGCAGGGAATTGAAAAATATTGCTGCCAAAGTGAGACCGAGGATCGGATGAGTTAAATAATCCAGTATGGACATTTACATGAGGATTGCATTGATAAAACGGCCGTGGATGGAACCTGTTAGGAGGTGGGGAAGGCACTGCTTAGATTTGGACGGGAATTCTATTCGAAGACGGGAATGTCGGTAAATTCGGCTTGGGCTCTTCGATATGAGGTGAGGGGTAGTTGAAAACACCTTATTTAAGGCCTTTAAGTTTTAGGGGGTAATGAGCGATTGTGGAGGTAAAGATTTCTTAGAGAAACTGGATTTACCCGGTGTTCGATTGGCTGTAAAAACTTTGAACGCTTTTTCATTAAATTCCTCGGAAGTGTTGTTTATACCGCCATATATCAACTGATTTAGCATTTCGTCGGATGTGTTCTTTAACGACTACCAATGGATCAGCTTTAAGCGAATACAGGGTCAGGAGTTTCTATATGGACCAATGGGATTATGGAGTTAGCCATATCTAAAAAAGGCTGCGAACACACGCTGGCACCAGCTATGATTCTGCTCAGAATTATGAGGCTTGGAAATGACGAGGAGCCTGTGAGCCTTCGTAATTTAGCAAGTCTCCTTCAGGGCATTGCAGAGTACTAGACAGGTTTCATTGCGATACAAGTGTTACCAGCTTACAAAAACGCATAGAACAGCAAATACTACTGTTCATTTGCTGCGGTAACTGGAAAGAGACGGTCTGACAAACAAGTATTTCGAATAACGCATTTAGTCTATCAGACTGTCTAATAAAACAGGAAGAAACTATGCTCGGCAATAAAAACCATTTTTAAGAAGAACTCAATCGAAGATACGCATTACCTGCCCAGGAATACCGAAGTAAAGACAGATCTTCACATATCTTTAGAGATAATGTGCATGCCCCGACCTTTAGCGGTCCTTGTCGATGACGCGGCAAATACTTTAGCCTCAATTCGAGTTTACTTGATACCTCAGCGTAATGGCATGCATCAGCCTGCGAAAGTTCTGTAAGTCATACTACTTGAAAATTCTTGCGGTTTCGAGCTTTTCGGGTGCGGTCCACTTTAAGGAACATTACCGTGATTTTGTCAGTCTTTCTGCGAAACACATCAAGAATATGTGGGCATTTTTGTCTTCTTATTGTAGCCGGTTGCGCTTACATGGCCCAATTTGTTAATGGCCTCATCCGGGTAGCACTGTGACTGGAACTATCACCCTCACATAATTTCGCAAAACTTTAATATAAGATCGCAGTTCGCAGCCCAGAATGGGGAAGTTGACGGCGAGATCCCTGTATGACGGAAATGGTGGGAAACGGAGTTATACGGGTGGGCCAATGCAAAGGCTGACAGAATAATGCAGGAGGATTTGGAAGAAAGTAGAGTTGACGGAGAAAATGTTTAGTAGTTTTAAGCAGGTAGAATAATGGCAGAAATTTAAAAAATCCCGTTGAAAGCAGCGCAGCCTGCTGTAAATGACAGCAGTGAATAGTTATGGGTTTAGCTGACCATGGCACTGCAGTAACCAATGAGGGGTGGGCAGTGGATGACAAGCTCAGTCCGCATAGCATAACCGAAAACGGTGAATATCATTGACGTGACAAGCGGAAGAACAATGAACGACATCGAAGCCCAACGACGGTAAGTGTA